TGGGGTCCTTGTTCTCTGTCATCAAAATCTGGTTTTAGATATTTTGTCACTTTTATTGATGATTTTTCTCGTGTCACTTGGATATACTTTATGAAAAGTCGTTCTGAGGTTTTTCAACATTTTTTGTCCTTTAGTGCCGAAATTAAAACTCAATTTCTTGCTACCATTCAAACACTTCGAAGTGATAATGCGAAAGAGTTTTTGTCTGCACCTTTTCAGTCTTATATGCTTGAAAATGGGATTTTGCATGAAATGTCGTGTGTTGATACATCAGCTCAAAATGGGATTGCTCAACGTAAAAATCGGCACCTCCTCGAGGTTGCTCGAGCATTGCTCTTTCACATGCATGTTCCTAAAACACGGGGGGGACTGCAAAACATGTGCGAGTTGATGCTGTGTCCACTGCTTGTTTTTTAATCAATCGAATGCCCTCGGTTGTATTGGGTAATTCAATTCCATTTTCAGTTCTTTTCCTAGATAAACCTATTTTTCCTATACCGCCTAAAATTCTAAGTCTCTCAAATGTATTTTTCTTGGGTATTCCAGGGTGCAGAAAGGGTATCGGTGTTTCTCTCCTGTCCTTGGTCGGTATGTCGTGTCTAGGGATGTTAGTTTTAATGAACACCTTCCATTTTTTCCTACTCGAGAGCTTCCACCTCCAGATGATCTTGGTATATTCTGTTACTCTCACTAGGCCTCCTTCCCCTCCGCCTCAGAGAACTCGGCCACCCATTACACAGACATATACTCGACTCTCTCAATCACATCGCGAGGTCATCATAGATTCTGATTCACGCCCTTTGCCTGCTGCTCCGGTGGAAGACCCTATCCCCGTACCAAATAACCCTAATGACCTTCCTGTTGCGCTTCGAAAAGGTAAAAGATCTTGTACTTACCCTATTGCTTCTGTTGTGTCTTATGATAACCTGTCTGCTTCTTCCAATTCTTTTATTGCCAAGCTAGACTCTATTTCTATTCCTACATCTGTTGGCACTGCTTTTGGCCCATCCTGGATGGCGTGCTGCTATGATTGAGGAAAGGAATGCCCTTGATCATAATGGCACATGGTCTTTAGTGGACTTACCTGTTGGCAAAAAGGCAATTGGATGTAAGTGGGTCTTTACTGTTAAAGTTAACCCTGATGGCTCTTTGGCACGTCTTAAAGCTCGGCTTGTAGCTAAAGGTTATGCTCAGACTTATGGCACCGATTACTCTGAGACTTTCTCTCCTGTGGCTAAACTTACCTTTGTCCGGTTGCTCATCTCTCTTGCTGCCTCTTCTGACTGGCCTCTGCACCAACTTGACTTTAAGAATGCGTTTCTCCATGGCTTTCTTCAGGAAGAGGTTTATATGGCGCAACCACCTGGTTTTGTTGCTCAGGGGGAGTATGGGAAGGTATGTCGTCTTCATAAGTCTTTATATGGGTTAAAGCAAAGCCCTCGAGCTTGGTTCGACAGATTTAGCCAGATTGTTTTGAAATATGGGTTGGTGAGATGTAAATCCGATCACTCGGTATTCTATAGGCGATCAAGTCTTGGGATCATTTTATTGGTTGTGTATGTCGATGATATTGTTATTACAGGGAATGATGACGATGGAATTTTAAACCTAAAATCATTCCTCCATGAGAATTTCCAAATAAAGGACTTGGGACACTTGAAATACTTTCTGGGAGTAGAGATAATGAGAAGTAAGAGAGGGATTTTCCTTTGTCAGAGGAAGTATGTGCTAGATCTTCTTAAAGAAACTGGAAAAGTTGGGGCAAAACCATGCAACACTCCGATGACACCAAACATGCAGTTAGGAAAGGATGATGGTGAGCCATTTCATGATCCAGAACGATATCGAAGACTTGTAGGAAAGCTAAACTATCTCACCGTAACACGCCCTGACATATCCTTTGCAGTTGGTGTAGCAAGTCGATTTATGTCTTCTCCGACCGTTGGTCACTGGGCACTTCTTGAACAAATTTTGTGCTACTTGAACGGGGCTCCTGGACGGGGATTGTTCTATGGGCGACAAAGTTATCAAAAGGCTGGGGCAGTAGAAGCATATTGTGATACCGACTATGCAGGTTGCAAAGATGATAGAAGATCGACTTCTGGATATTGTATATTTGTGGGAGGCAATCTAGTTTCGTGGAGAAGCAAGAAGCAAAATGTTGTGTCTCGTTCAGTTGCCGAAGCAGAGTATAGGTCGGTGGCTGATTCAGTATGTGAGGTTGTATGGATACATCAGTTACTTAAGGAGCTTAAGGAGCTTGGATTAGAATTTGCTCTCCCAGCAACACTTTGGTGTGACAACCAAGCAGCAAGCCACATTGCATCAAATCCTGTATTTCATGAACGAACCAAACACATCGAGATAGATTGCCACTTTGTTCGTGATAAGGTCGAAGAAGGTTTTGTCACTACAAGATATATCAAGTCTGAGGATCAATTAAGGGACGTATTTACAAAAGCAGTGAATGGTGTAAGAATGAAAAACATTTGTAACAAGCTGGGCATAATCGATATATATGATCCAGCTTGAGGGGGAGTGTTATCGTAAATATGGTATAGATTAGATTGTATCAATTAGGTGATATGGTGAATCCCTTAGATTAGGTGTTTTGATTTCTTTCCTTTCTTACATCTCCTTTGGCTTGTATATATATATA